GAAATTACGGCATACACAAATTTTAACTGCCTTATCCAGCAAGAAGAACGTTGGTATTTAAGCCAAAATCACAAGTTTTGCCTATTCGGCACGATACACACACACACAAAATTACACACACACACACACACACACACACACAAATTACACACACAATTACACACACGCCACATATATATATATATATATATATATATATATATATATATATATATATACACACACACACACACACACACACACACACAACACACTGTAGTAAATCTTAGTAAAGATGGCAAATTAGGTGGCATCACTACCCAATGGGAAAGGCTCCTCTCAGTATCGCATTTTCTGGCATATAAGGCGCACCTCAAATGTGTTAGGCATATTCAGGTAAAATAAATTATAATGCAGTATTTGCTTCACAATGATAGTGAGCCAGTGGTTGTCCGCTCACGGTGTATAGCTGAGAGGTGCAACCTTGTACACCTTGTCGTCTGCTCCGCCAACAAACATGGCGACCCTCTGTTTACAGACGGCTACTTCACATTGATTTACAAATGCTGAGGCTCCTTCGCTTACTGAAATACAGCTGATATGTAAATCATGATTTATAATAGTTACTAATCACCCTTAAAGTGATCTGGGAAATATTTTTGCAAGGGGACAGGAAGTGGGAGAAATGTTCCAGGAGTTTAGTAAATTTATCAGTAAGCATGACCGTAAGCATGAAAGGTGCAGGGTGATTAAAAAAAAAGGACAAAAAAAAAAGCGCGCTTTCTTTGCGGGAAAATAATGTAATATACAATGGCATTAAAATTTTGAAGTTGATATAAACGAGGCCTTCTATCACACTCTGTTCAAGAAACTTTCTTCACTATAACACATACAACCTAAAAGTGATCCACAACTTTCACTAATTACGATATATCGGTATTGTTATTTTGATACCAATGTTAACATTCCGATACCGGAGCTCATCTTTTGATATCAGTTTTCATATTTTGATACCGGCGTTCATATTTCGATAACAGTAACCTAATTAGTTCAATTGGGAAACTGGGACTTTCTCAGCCAAATAGCAACAGAAACCTTACTAGCATTAAAGTTTGAAGCCGATCAGACAAGGCATTCCTCAGTTATCTAATGGAAACCAATAACAGCCACATAACTAATTTTCTTAATAAATTGATAAATTAGAACCTACACATTTAAATTTTTTTATTTAATCTTCCTTTGCATTGGCTGCATCAGCTTTTATAGTTTCAAGCCGTTCCAAACAGGCATTCTAACGATTCAAATCTTTTTTCTACATAGTGTTTGAAATTTGAAGACGGTCAAAAAAAGCCTGTGTATGAAATCTGAAGCCAATCGGATGAAGCATTTAAGTCAGGGAGAAAAACTGCACAAAACCTCCACAAGTGGAAAAATTAAACACTTGAGTTTAATTTTTCCATCGTGTCGGTATTTTATACCATTTATCTCTTTTAGGGAAACCAAGTTATTCTATCTGTATCATTTATACGAACCAGTCTGCATATTGGAGCTAGTTTGGTATATAGTAGAATCCCAATTATTGCGCATTCTGAGAATACATTTACAACAGTCTGATACTACATTTACAACATTCCGAAAGTACATTTACAACATTCTGAGAGTACATATACAAAATTCTGAGAGGACATTTACAACATTCTGAGAGGACATTTACATTCTCAGAGTGAATTTACAACATTCTGAGAGTACATTTACACCATTCTGAAAGTGCATTTACAACTAAACACTTTTGAAAAACGTCACAAGTAATAATTGTGCGGAAAAAGCGAACAATCGTGCCGTAAAGTCTGAAAAAAATAAGCCGGGAGAAGATGCAAGGCCAGTAACCCATCGTTACACCGTAACTATACATTCCTGTGCTTTTAACAGTTATCTAACTACTCTAGCTGTATTTCAACAGTTGCTAAATATCTTGGTGATTGGTGCGAAAACAGTCATTAAACGAGAAAATTATGTGCTAAAAGAATAATCTCAGATGCAGTGCAGTCATGATAAATTCGTTTCTGTTTGGAGTTTATAGGGCCACCACAGCGTACGTCGTACTGAGCTGTACCTGCCATTAACACTCCTAGAAGCAGGACTCACACAACTCAAGACATCATAGCTCTTAAAAAGCAACACCATTTTATTACAGTTCTACGGCCTTTTTCTTGGTTATTACTTTCTTAAATACACAAATAGCCCGCAAATAGGAGAGAGAAACTTACGGCGACGTTTCGGTCCGACTTGTACCATTTACAGTCACTTTGTTAATGGACCAAGTCGGACCGAAACGTCGTCAATAAGCTTCTCTCTCTCCTATGTGCGGGTTATTTGCTTATTGTTCCAGTCACGGCACTGTGCCTATCTGTACTTTCTCAAATGCTTTCAGTTTTAGTTAAGTTTGTATGATATAAATGTAATGCGTTCCTACATGTATTTGGTACAATTTGGTAAGGAAATGTGGTTCATTTTTACCGATGTTGACATAATGAGTTCAGAGGATGGATGGGGGAAGGGGGGGGGGGGAAGGATGGCTGATACTGCCTACCACAATACACAAATAGCCCGCATATAAAAGAGAGGAGCTTACGACGACGTTTCGGTCCAACGATCCAAGTCGGACCGAAACGTCGTCGTAAGCTCATCTCTTCTATATGCGGGTTATTTGTGTATCGTTCCAGTAACGGTATTGTGCCTTTTTATTTTTTTTTTGTAACTGCCTACCACAAGTGTGTATGAGTGTTGTGCCGGGTCACAGCAGTCTTCTCAAGCCACCTGTTCAACAAGCACCACCATTTAGAATTTAAGGCAAGATAGATTTGTTTCTTTTTCGACTTTTTTTTTTAACTTGTTTATTTTTTTAAAATAAGGTCAGTTTAACCTAACCCCCACTTTCTCATATATTTTTTGAGTGTTTATTTTCAGGAAGGACGCGGGAATATTAATGGGGACTCCTGTACATATGCATTACATATCTAGTGTGTCCTATACAAAAAAGATATATATGACAGTGTTATATATGATCTGGGTATATATTAGCCATTGTCTTGAACCCCCTAAGAATCAGTGTGTCATATATGACACACTGATGTCGTGAATTAGTCATATAAAAGTTAATGTGTATTACGAATCAGTTTCACGCGCAACCCAGTGCCATATAAGAAGCAGTGTCATAAGATGTGTCACATATGAAGTGTATGAACCAGTGTCATATATGTCACATACAAGTTAGTGTTGTGCAGTATATGAAGTGTCATATACAAGGTGCCACATACGAACCGGTGTCATACATAAAGTGACACCCACGAACCAATCATGTATAAACCGGTTTCACATACAAACCAAGCTCATATATGATCTAGTGTTTTATATGAACCAGTGTCGTATGCAAACCAGTGTCGTATGCAAACCAGTGTCGTATGCAAACCAGTGTCGTATGCAAACCAGTGTCGTATGCGAATCAATGTCATACAAACAAGTGAAATATACATGTCACATTCGAATTGGTTAATACAGGAAGAAGTGTAAGATATGAACAAATGCCTTATGTGAATAAGTGTCAAACACGAACCGGTATCATACATGAACCACTGTCATACACGAATTCGTGTCATATATGAAACATTGTCATACGAACTAGTGTCCTACATGAGCCAATGTCATACATGAAAAAGAGTCATATACGAACCAGTGTCATACAAGTCAGTATCACATAAGAACCATGTCATAAGAGCTAGTGTCATATGTGAACCAATACCACATAAGCAGTGTCACATAAGAAAGTGTCATATACGTACCAGTTTCGCATACAAACCAGTCATATAAGAGACGGTGTCATACATGAACCAGTGTCACATACGAACCAGTGTTACAGAAGAACCAGTGTCACATAAGAAAAGTGTCATATACGAACCAGTGCCACATAACCAGTGTCACATACGAACCGATGTCACATACGAACCGGTGGCACATACGAACCAGTGTCATACGAAACCGGTGTCACATACGAACCGGTGTCACATACGAACCAGTGTCACATACGAACCAGTGTCGCATACGAACCAGTGTCACATACGAGCCGGTGTCGCATACAGACCAGTGACACACACGAACAGGTGTCACATATGAACCAGTGCCGCATATGAACCAGTGCCGCATACGAACGGGTGTCACATACGAACCAGTGCCATGTACTAACCAGAACCCATATGAACCAGTGTCACATACGAACCGGTGTCATATATGAACCAGCGTCGTATACGAACCAGTGTCACATACGAACCAGTGCCATGTACCAACCAGAATCCCATATGAACCAGTGTCACATACGAACCGGTGTCAGATATGAACCACCGTCATATACGAACCAGTGTCGCACATGAACCACTATCACATACGAACCAGTGTCACATATGAACAAGGGTCATATACAAACCAGTGCGACATAAGAAGCAGTGTCATATACGAATCAGTGCCACATACGAACCAGTGTCACATACGAACCAGTGTCACATATGAACCAGTGTCATATACAAACCAGTGGATTCCATTATAAGGATAACCGCATAGTGTTCATAACGAACCGGTGTCATTTACGAACCAGTGTCACATATGAACCAGTGTCACATACGAACCGGTGTCATGTATTAACAGCTAATTTTGTAGCTAATAACACTTTCCCCTATTAAAATTATTATTATTTGGGAAAGCGCTAAGTCCGCAGGGATGATACATCACCTAGGGCATGGGAGGTATGTGTCTACTAATCTAAGGTAGTCTTACCTAACCTAACCTAGCCTAATCTAATCTAACCTAACCTAATCTAATCTGACCTAAACTAATCTAATCTAACCTAATCTAACCTAACCATCACCTAACCTAACCTTATTTTTACCAAACTAAACCTAATCTTACTTAACTAAACCTAACTTTAGAAAGCTGACATTAAAAGTGTGTTACACGGTGCGTCTCCCACACAGAGAGCGGAGGCAGTATAGCAGACCGAAGTGGTCTACCGCAGCTGGCCAGACCAAGACCCATCATACACTCGCCCCTGCAGCCACTACTCTCCTGTAGACCACCCTACCTCAACGGTGAGTGAGAGTGAGACAGGCAGAAGTAAATGTTATTATGATTCATGAATAATTATAGCATGAGAGAGAGAGAGAGAGAGAGAGAGAGAGAGAGAGAGAGAGAGAGAGAGAGAGAGAGAGAGAGAGAGAGAGAGAGAGAGAGAGAGAGAGAGAGAGAGAGAGAGAGAGAGAGAGAGAGAGAGAGAGAGAGAGATTAATCAGAAAATTTATAAACCATGACAATTTAAACGTTCAAAAATGGCCATCAATCCCCCCCCCCAAAAAATCCCCCTTATCAACAACCCATTAACCCCAGAAACGACTGTCACAGACCCCCATTAAAGCTTTCATTTTTTTCAATATACATTTCTTTTCGGGTCTTCTCACATGATAAAAGTCATTTCTTTTCTCAGATCATTACAATTAACTAGTGTAATTTATTTATTTTATTTTTAGAGTGCCTCGGCAACCTAGCAGCGAGGCAGCAGGGGATTGACTCGTCTCTCTGTCCCTGGCTGACTGAGCGTGTGAGTGTGTGTAAGTGCGTCAATGAGCTCTGGTTTTCAAGGTATCTCAGTAAGGTCTGTGGGCATACATATTTCTCAGCAAGGTCTGTGGGCATCTCAGCAAGGTCTGGGGATATGCATACCTCTCAGCAAGATCTGTGGGCATATTTCTCAGCAAGGTCTGTGGGCATCTCAGCAAGGTCTGCGAATATTAATACTTCTCAGCAAGGTCTGGGGGCATACATATTTCTCAGCAAGGTCTGTGGGCATCCTTCTCAGCAAGGTCTGTGGGCATATATCTCAAGCAAGGAATGGGGCATACGTACTTATCGGCAACGTCCGAGAGCATACTTTTCAGCAAAGTTTGTCGGCACACATACTTCTCCACAACATATGTAGGCATACTTCCCAGTAAGGTCTGGGAGCATACGTGCTTTTCAGCAAGGTACTGGAGATATACATAGCTCTCAGTAAAGTTTGCGGGCATACATACATGTCATGAAGCATAGAAACCACAATACTATGACCTGAAGGCCAGAATACCACGGCCGCAAGGCCACAACACCATGGCCGCAAGGCCACAACACCATGGCCGCAAGGCCACAACACCATGGCCGCAAGGCCACAACACAATGGCCGCAAGGCCACAACACCATGGCCGCAAGGCCACAATACCACGGCTACAAAAAATACACAACTCACTGTCTAGTTATTACTACATATATGAAATATCGACAATTTGATAAGCAAGACGAATTTTTTTAAGTGTTGCACATGAATCTAACTTATCAGCCCACAAACCTTGCAGAGATGGATACCGAAACGTCGTATTATTCACCCCCACGTTTCGAAATATGTGGCTTGGCTGTGAATAACACTCCTTATATAGATGTATATTCAGGCAGCAGGATGACCTTTTTTTTAACTAATCAATTTTCTTTTCTGTGGCGACAGTATATGGAACAGTGGGGGGCATGGGCGGCGTTCCCCTTCCCAGTACCTTCCCGTGGGCGGCCATGGGCGTGGGCGTAAGAGGGAAGCCCCGGCGAGGCATGCTACGACGGGCGGTGTTCAGCGATTTCCAGCGCAAGGGTCTGGAAGACCGCTTCCAGGTGCAGAAGTACATCAGCAAGCCAGACCGTAAGAAGCTGGCTGAGAAGCTTGGTCTTAAAGACTCCCAGGCGAGTACTTTTACAAAGAGTAATCTTCCACGATTATTACTTGAAGAATGAGACACATCTGCAATATCTGGGAATCCTTACTGAGGAAACGTTTCGCCAGCCAGTGGCTTCTTCAGTCCAATACAAAGAAGAATGGAGAAAGATGAGTAGTAGTAGTTTGAGGTAATCAGTCCCTCAGCCTGGAATCGATGTGTTCAATCCATCGATGGAACACATCGACTCCAGGCTGAGGGACTGATTACCTCAAACTCCTCCTCATCTTTCCCCGTTCTTCGTTGTACTGGACTGATGAAGTCACTGGCTGGCGAAAAGTTTCCTCAATAGAGATTCCCAAATGTTGTACAAGTGTCTCATTCTTCAACTTCTCAGTTTTCTAAATACATCACGTATATTAATCTTTAAGACTTCCAGGCAAGTACTCTTACAAGAGTTATCTTCCACGTATTACTCCCCCTTTATCTTTAACAGTTATAATAGTTATTTTTACGCCCCCTTTCTGCAGTTATCATAGTTAATGTCTTGTGTCCACTATTCTCTCAGCACAATTCAATGCTTTCATGACACTGAAAACAAAATTATGCTATCATTCATCTCTCTAGATTTTCAATCACATTTTTAATGCTTATTATTATATTATTATTATTATTATTATTATTATTATTATTATTATTATTATTATTATTATTAACGAAAAATGCTCAACCCACATGGGTTTACTACCCCCCTTTCGTTACATTTGGTTAAAAAAATATTCCAGGGCGAGATTGTTCCAGGGTGGGATTGTTCCAGGGTGGAATTGTTTCAGGGCGGGAGTATTCCAGGGCGTGATTGTTCCAGGACGTGATTGTTCCAGGACGAAATCGTTCCAGGGTGGGAGTGTACGAGCGTGGGTTTTTTTTTAGGGTGGGATTTTTCTAGGGCGAGATTGTTTGTTTCAGAGTGGGATTGTACTAGGTTGGGATTTTTTCAGGGTGAGTGTTCCATGGTGGGATTGTTCCTGAGTGTGATTGCGCCAGAGGTTTGTGAAGTCAAGTTTCGCATTGTGTAGAGCTTCATCGAGTGAAGATGACTTAACAGTGTTCTACACAAAGTGAAATGTCCAAATAAAAGCTTTATCGGCATCTCTCCCTCGCCCCTCTCATCATTCTCTCTCTTCTCTCTCTCTCTCTCTCTCTCTCTCTCTCTCTCTCTCTCTCCTTCACTATCGCCAGCAATACGAGATTTTTAGACCTATCGCTTGCCGTGCTTCTATCACTGCGATAGTAACCGCACGACAGTTATGTAAATAGTTCATTACCACTGTAACTGGCTGGGCTATCAACTGGTGTTCAGTCCCTGGACCCATTATGTGCCTCCGTAATATTTAAACTACTGACCATAGCATAGGTATAGGGGTGCATAATGAAGATTTTCAACTCTCTATCTCGAACATGTATCAACTCCGTTTGCTTGACGTGACTCTGTCTTCCACATGTCTCAATCCAGTTCCTCGTAGATAAACTGCCACAAATTTCCTAATCCATCAACTTACAATCTCAGGAACTGGTTGATAACGAAAGATGTTGAAACTCATCGCTTCCCCCCCCCCCCCGTTCCTCTCTCCCTCCGTCCCATTCCCTTCCCTAACATCCTCCTCCTCCTCTTCCTTCTCACGTCCATTTAACGACCCTCACATATTTCTAAACATCCAAATGACGGTGTTTTCAATGCGTCCATTATTTTTAATCATTACTATAGTATTTACCTCATTATTATTTATTATTATTATTATTAGTAGTAAGTAGTAGTAGTAGTAGTAATTAACGACTAAACTTTGATATTATAATTATATTAAGATTATACTAGCATTTATATTACCTATTATTATTATTATTATTATTATTATTATTATTATTATTATTATAATTAGTAGTAGTAGTAATAATAATAATAACAGTAACCTATCACTGATTATTGTAAGTACTCAATATTAATTTTACTTTCATTAGTACAGTATTAACTACCAATTTCTAATTTCGTATTTAAATAACTTTATTATTGGTATTTAGTCAGACTTGACGCCGGAGCCACCGAGGTTTCTTCCTGCTCGGTTTCTCCGTTATAATACCTGAGATATCGTTTATCTAATTCTTCACGCCTTCCTACTTTCATTTTTTCCTTCCTGCGTGTTGTGCACTATCCGACCTGGGAGACAGACCACCAGCCTGGGAAAGACCGCCGGCATGGAACCAGCCATACCACGGGTCTGGGGCCAGTCACACCTCGGGTCTGGGGCCAGCCATACCACGGGTCTGGGTCCAGTCACACCTCGGGTCTGGGGCCAGCCATACCACGGGTCTGGGTCCAGTCACACCTCGGGTCTGGGGCCAGCCATACTACGGGTCTGGGTCCAGTCACACCTCGGGTCTGGGGCCAGCCATACCACGGGTCTGGGTCCAGTCACACCACGGGTCTGGGGCCAGCCATACCACGGGTCTGGGTCCAGTCACACCTCGGGTCTGGGGCCAGCCATACTACGGGTCTGGGGCCAGTCACACCTCGGGTCTGGGGCCAGCCATACCACGGGTCTGGGGCCAGTCACACCTCGGGTCTGGGGCCAGCCATACCACGGGTCTGGGGCCAGTCACACCTCGGGTCTGGGGCCAGCCATACCACGGGTCTGGGGCCAGTCACACCTCGGGTCTGGGGCCAGTCACACCTCGGGTCTGGGGCCAGCCATACCACGGGTCTGGGGCCAGTCACACCTCGGGTCTGGGGCCAGTCACACCTCGGGTCTGGGGCTAGCCACACCACGGGTCTGGGGCCAGCCACACCACGGGACTGGGGCCAGTCACACCTTGGGTCTGGGGCTAGCCACACCACGGGTCTGGGGCCAGTCACACCTCGGGTCTGGGGCTAGCCACACCACGGGTCTGGGGCCAGTCACACCTCGGGTCTGGGGCTAGCCACACCACGGGTCTGGGGCCAGCCATACCACGGGTCTGGGGCCACACCTCGGGTCTGGGGATAGCCACACCACGGGTCTGGGGCCAGCCACACCACGGGTCTGGAGCCAGCCACACCACGGTCTGGAGTCAGCCACACCACGGGTCTGGAGCCAACTACACCACGGGTCTGGAGCCAGCCACACCACGGGTCTGGAGCCAGCCACACCACGGGTCTGGAGCCAGCCACACCACGGGTCTGGAGCCAGCCACACCACGGGTTTGGAGCCAGCCACACCACGGGTCTGGAGCCAGCCACACCACGGGTCTGGAGCCAGCCACACCACGGGTCTGGAGCCAGCCACACCACGAGTCTGGAGCCAGCCACACCACGGGTCTGGAGCCAGCCACACCACGGGTCTGGAGCCAACCACACCACGGGTCTGGAGTCAGCCACACCACGGGTCTGAGGCCAGCCACACCACGGGTCTGAGGCCAGCCACACCTCGGGTCTGGAGCCAGCCACACCACAGGTCTGGAGCCAGCCACACCACGGGTCTGGAGCCAGCCACACCTTGGGTCTGAAGCCAGCCACACCACGGATCTGGAACCAGCCACACCACGGGTCTGAAGCCAGCCACACCACGGGTCTGGAGTCAGCCACACCACGGGTCTGAGGCCAGCCACACCACGGTCTGGAGCCAGCCACACCATGTGTCTGGAGCCAGCCACACCACGGGTCTGGAGCCACTTACACCACGGGTCTGGAGCCAGCCACACCACGGGTCTGGAGCCAGCCACACCACGGGTCTAGTGCCACCCACACCACGGGTCTGGAGCCAGCTACACCACGGGTCTGGAGCCAGCCACACCACGCGCCTGGAGCCAGCTACGCCACGGGTCTGAAGCCAGCCACACCACGGGTCTGGAGTCAGCCACACCACGGGTCTGGAGTCAGCCACACCACGGATCTGGAGTCAGCCACACCACGGATCTGGAACCAGCCACACCACGGGTCTGGAGCCAGCCACACCACGGGTCTGGAGCCAGCCACACCACGGGTCTGGAACCAGCCACACCACAGGTCTGGAACCAGCCACACCACAGGTCTGGAGCCAGCCACACCACGGGTCTAGAGCCAGCCACACCACGGGTCTAGAGCCAGCCACACCACGGGTCTGGAGCCAGCCACACCACGAGTCTGGAGCCAGCCACACCACGGGTCTGGAACCAGCCACACCACAGGTCTGGAACCAGCCACACCACGGGTCTGGAGCCAGCCACACCACGAGTCTGGAGCCAGCCACACCACGGGTCTGGAACCAGCCACACCACGGGTCTGGAACCAGCCACACCACGGGTCTGGAGCCAGCCACACCACGGGTCTGGAACCAGCCACACCACAGGTCTGGAACCAGCCACACCACGGGTCTGGAGCCAGCCACACCACGAGTCTGGAGCCAGCCACACCACGGGTCTGGAGCCAGCCACACCACGGGTCTGGAGCCAGCCACACCACAGGTCTGGAGCCAGCCACACCACGGGTCTGGAGCCAGCCACACCACAGGTCTGGAGCCAGCCACACCACAGGTCTGGAGCCAGCCACACCACAGGTCTGGAGCCAGCCACACCACGGGTCTGGAACCAGCCACACCACAGGTCTGGAGCCAGCCACACCACAGGTCTGGAGCCAGCCACACCACGGGTCTGGAACCAGCCACACCACAGGTCTGGAGCCAGCCACACCACGAGTCTGGAGCCAGCCACACCACAGGTCTGGAACCAGCCACACCACGGGTCTGGAACCAGCCACACCACAGGTCTGGAGCCAGCCACACCACAGGTCTGGAGCCAGCCACACCACGGGTCTGGAACCAGCCACACCACAGGTCTGGAGCCAGCCACACCACGAGTCTGGAGCCAGCCACACCACAGGTCTGGAGCCAGCCACACCACGAGTCTGGAGCCAGCCACACCACCATCACTGGACTGACCTTCACTATGCTGGTTGTATTGTCAAGTCTTCGTCAACTTTGAGTGATTCCCTCATTTTTTCACTGGATTTAAACCGTCAAG